ATTTGTTTGAGACGAGCCATTGATGAATATTGCTCATTTCATGATTGAGGGTTTTTTCCAAATTATTAAGACCATCTGAACCAACAGTTATATTTGTGTCATCAGCATACATTGCGGCATGTGAATTTTCCAAACAGTTTGGAAGATCATTGACATATATCAAAAATAAAAGAGGGCCAAGGTTTGACCCATGTGGAACCCCGCAATTTAATTTATCTATTTACCTTACAGTATTGCTCCCTGTTAAACAAATATGATTTAAACCATTCTAGTGCCTTGTCTTGTATCCCGTAATTAGATAACTTTTTTATGAGGATGGCATGATCGACTGTGTCGAATGCTTTGCATAAATCAAGAAAAAGCACCCCGTTTATCCTACCAGCATCCATATTCAGTAGCCACGAATCAGTATTTTCTAAAAGAGCAGATGTGGTGGAATGACCTTTGCGAAAACCAGACTGACATGAACTTAAAATCTTATTTTCTTCCAGAAATAGATTGAGTTGCTCGCAGATAAGTTTCTCAAATAATTTTGCAATAACTGAAAGTACAGAAATAGGCCGGTAGTTACCCCGCACTTTCTTATTTCCAGACTTATATATTGGAGAAATCCTTGCCGTTTTAAGATCGTCTGGGAAAATGCAATTATTTAGGGGTGCACTACGTCTTTTGAATCTCTTAAAAGTTTGGCTGGAATATTATCTGGTCCTGTGGATTTTGACACATTTATTTTACCAATTTCATTAACTACATCTTGAACTTGGATGCTTTTAAAAATAAACTGGTTTTGAGCTGTAAATTTCATATATCTTTCAAAACTCACACTGGATTCAGCAATCTGACTTGATAAAGTCGATCCAATGTCAGCGAAATAATCATTAAATAAATTTGCTATATTGGAATCTTCTACAAACACTTGCTCGTTAATTTCAAGTGCTGGAAAGTTTGACGACTTTGGTCTTTTGTTAATCAGATTATTAATATTCTTCCACATTTGTTTGCTATTATTCTTATTTCTTTCAATACAATTTGTATAATAGTTCCGCTTCGCATGGATAATTTGTTTGTAATATTGTTACGGAGACTTCGATATGCATTATGAAACGTAGCTGAATTTGTTTTAATTGCTTTTTTCTTTAGGAAATCTCGATAGTTTATATTTTTCTTAATTGCGTCCGTTAGCCAAGGCGATTTCCGGCTTCTAATTTTGCGAACTTTTCTCGGTGCATGAATATCAGCAACATAATTGAAAGTTGTCTTAAAGTTGTCCCATAGTATATTTGGCTCATCAGTCCCCCAATCTACCAATGACAACGCAGCATACAGATCTTGGTTAAAGTTTTGTTGCAGGTAACTCTTATAATTTAAACTAAAGGGTTGAAACTTCGACTAGATGACATTTCTAAATGCCTTAAAATTCACAATTTATTTGTGTTTTCGAATATTTTTTTGCAGATTCTATGTCTTTTCGGATATATCTTCACAACTGATATAGTAGATTTAATAAACGATTGATTTTTCGTATGTTTTTACATGAAACACTAGTCGAAGGGTTTTTTCGCACAATGTGTTCCATAAGTAGGTTGTTCTCGTGACGTCAAGTATAATGAGTCCGAGCCATTTAAAAGGTTTACAGAACTTCGAGAGAAGAAATAATGGATGATCAAGGGATTCAAGTACGTTTTTAAAAATAAATACAATAT